ATAATACCATCAAAATTATAATGCTCAAACCTGGTAGAACAACAAATGAAAAATTGCCAAGCAATATGCATTCGTAAGTTTTAAAAGTATATACGGTTAACATAGGTTATACAGTATTGACAAGAAATATCAAAAGAAAAACTGGAAAGAAATCTGCATCAATCCTATTCCAAATCACTGTTAATAAATTCAAAATGCTTATAAAACATGAACATGAATATTTTACAAAATCTACACCGTCCGAGATTGAACCTTCCCCTATACAAATGGCGAAAGGAAAAAGGATGTGCTAAATGCCGGTACGTCAATAGCCGTGCCGCAAATAGAGATTCATTCCCCATATAACCTGTTCAAGCCTTCAGTGCTGAAACAATATTATCAAAAAATCCCCTTGATCACCAATAACAAAAATACTTTCAAGCACTAGTTTACTTTATATAATGAAATGATAAAACGCTTTGGCGAGTTATACACCATGTATTTATATTATATAGAATAGTAAATGGGTGCTGAATAGTTATTTCGCTCTTGATTATCAAGGTGAAATTCTTTTATGATAATTTGACTATTATTGGCTAGACAAATGTGCCAGAAAAGGTTTTGTTTAAGAAAAATCGAAATGTGATTCTACCCCTTTTGGCTTTCCTCTATATTTACCCATTTTTGTTCTGACTAGATTTTGATGCAATCTCCGTCGAGGTATTCATTCCGTTGTTGGTTATTGTGTCTCCAAAACATGCAATGCGTATGAAGAAAATGCGCTAAACGGACTCAAATTTTTTTACAAAATCTTACCACCAGACGATCCTAAGCATTCAAACACATCCTTTAATGAAATGTATATTGAGTTTGGCTTCGAAGGCAGGATTCTCAGGTCAAAATTTTCTAAATGTATCTCAGCTTCATATCTTAGATATTCTATGAGATCACTGGGTGATATAGAAAACCCAAGACGGAGAGAATATCTCGATAAAGACTGCATAGAAATCCGATACAAAAATGGATTACAGTTACCAAAATTTAATGCTGACAACGGTTACAATGATGTGGCAGATGGTCACTGACTTTTACTTTTTAAGCATACTTTAACATTTTATATTGCTATATGAAAAGAGATTCTGAACATTTTAGCTGTAGCTTAAAGATGAGTGCGGAACAACAAATAAATTATGGTAATTGTTGTATATCTACATGACTTTATATATACTGTTTATATGATAAAATACTCTCTAACAAGTAAATTTACTTAGTGAAATGTGCAGTGTTGTAATCACTTCCATGTGATAAGAATTGTTATCGATTATAATAGTAGCATTACTTTATATTCTTTTTTTTCTGATATTAACTTGTTTGAAAGTTCGACTTCAGTTGGTATGTTGTTTTTTCTGGTCCATTCGCCGATGTTTGCAAACTGGTTTTATCTAGGCGGTAAGTCCACCCAACTGACTTTCCTTGATAACTTAATTTCTTCTAATGTCTTCGCAAGTGACCGACTAATAATCTAATGTAAATCCTGAGACAAATGCCCGTTAGACATGACCGTAATCAATTGTCAAAATTCGCGTCACTCTAGGAGAGAACAATCGACCCCTTGATTATTTATTGAATGCGACGTTTTGTACGGATTCTTATCTAATAGCCTACATTTGAAATTAAGTGTTTCATAATAGAGAAATAAATAAATTATTGAAAAGAAATAATGCAGTTCAGTATTGTAGCTGATTCGTGTTTCCATCCCGCAACCCCGCCAAGTGAAAAGTCGAAAATTAACAGCTTAAAATGGTGGGGGGGGGCGCAGAGCGAAAGCATGCCAATTAGCGGGAACGCGGGGCGAGGTTTTTTAAATAGATATTCGCCCTGCAGGGGCGCGGAGCGAAAACACGCGTATTAGCGGGGGTGCGGTTCGACGTTTAATAGATTAAACTTCGCCCCAAGCGTTCGCTTATTAGCGTGTTTTCGCCCACGACCCCGTGAAGCGAAAAGTTGAAAATTAAGAAGTAAGAATGGCGGGACGCGAAGCAAAAATACGCTTATTAGCGGGGCGTGAGGTGAAGATTAGTAACCAAAAGGTCGCCCTGCGGGGGCGCGGAGCAAAATTTAAGAGTTGAAACGGCGGGGTCGCGGAGCGAAAACAAGTTTATTAGAGGGGTGCGGGACGAAGTTCAATAGATGAAACTTCGCCGTGCGCCCCCTCAAATGAGTATGTTCGCCCCGCGTTCCCACCAAGCGATAAGTCGAGAATTAACAAGTTAAAACAGTCGGGGCTCCGCGCCCACGCCGATTTATTTCTTAAATCTCGTTCAGCGACCACGCGGGCGAAGTTTTCCTTACTAAATTTCGCCCACGCCACCCACTTATAACTTTTTTTTCGCTCCGCGCCCTCGCCATTTAAACTCGACGTTTTGCTTGGTGTGGTCGCGTGGCGAAAACACAAATGGCACAAATCAATTACCATAGTTCAGAAACATAAGCTTTTAATTTTACGATTTTAAAAGTATTTCTAAAAAAATACAGCATTTTAAAACAACTTGCTATGCATCCGACACACCCAATTGCAAGCTTAGTTTGATACTATCCTGGTCGGTATTCTTAGAAAAAAGCTCAAAGCCGTATTATGTATTAAAGCACGATTTTATATTTATCATGTATGTTCAAGAGTTTCACGAACAAAAAGTAAGTTTAAAAAAATTGTTTAAACAGTATATTTTCTGTTGATGCTCGATGAAGATAACTTACAACTCTGGCATGTTTATTCAGAAATGACTGAAATATTGAGGAAAAAATACATTAACGTCTATAAGAATTTGCAAAAATAGTAACTTACAGTTATTTTAAACTTTTAGAAATTAACATTGTTACCTTGTTATCCATCTGTGAAATACTCATTAAAAAATATTACAGTTCAGATATTTCTCTTATATATTCTGCAAAATATATGGTGGTCGTTTCATTACCATTAGCTGTAATAAAGGCAATACACATGATTACATTATCTTCTGTACGTCCTGCGAAATTATTTTGATTAACCAATATCTGCAAGATATTTATAAAGATATATGTTTACCAATCATTTATCCTATACACATATAATAACCAATACAAAGCATCAATTTTCCACATTTATTATAACCAGATAACACATTTCAATTAGGGTTAGTAAGTAACATATACTGAAATTTCTACTTGAACAAATAACTGCATTGGTTTAGGTATACAATGCAAATGCAATTATTTGGTGACTCTACTCGTTATTCTTGTTCCTTTTCCAAATGAGAATAGAGAAAATGAAATACATTGTTTTTGAGCTCTTATTTATTTATCTTTTTATTTCTTTACAAAAATTTTTATTTATTTATTTATCTATCTATTTATTTATGTTTCACACATCACTTGAATAAAAGTGTAGAACGCATTTTTCAGAAAAGCCTTTTATTATATAGGAAATAGCATTTGCAAGATTTGCTAGTGGATGAGAGGTGTTTTTTCTACAGTCTGTTCGTCACTGACTTGCTGATTTCTCTGCACGCCTAAATAAATGCAAATACGTAGCTATAAGATAAAGATACTTTTAACCATTTAAATATGTTTATTTCTCTCCCATTCAGTCACCAAATGAAGTGTATAATTTACTATTTTAAAGCTATTTTGATCAATCGTTGCAAGTTTTGTCCTTCAAATATACTGCCAAATGCACCGGATGCGATATCAGCTTATCTGTGCAATTGAACGCCATGACCTGATTCTTTGTCTGTAGTTTTGTTATCTGAAACCACTCACATGTTCTAAAGACCAATTTTAAAACACGGTCAAACAGACGCTTTTGTCAAAACATGTTTTGCGAACTAAGTATGTCGAAACCAGACGTTTTAAAGCATATTTACAAATTCGTATCTTAATGCTCTTGTCAACATAATAAAACTTTGTTTCTATGTTACGACAAAGAATATATGCAATCATTCATAATAACGTATCCATGTAGTTTTCTTTATGTATTCAATTATATATTTTCTAATAGTTATGTTTCCTTTTCAAATACCCGTATAAAATGTACATACAATTTGATTTACTAACTGTCCAACAGATTTAAAGTTGTTCGAATGATAAATACCTATAACAAAAATCATAAAAGGCAAACATAAATTTTTTGACATTATTATTATTATAACTTATGTAAATGTGAAATGGTAAGGATTTATATTTTCTGTTCAAGTTTTTAGTTACATAATGACATCAAACAAATATCAAACAAAAACGTCAAAAACGGCAAACATGTAAATGTGGCAGGTTCGGTTTAATTGAACCTGTTCATGGACGGTAATGGAAAGTGCAAGACTCCGTTTACGCCGTTTACGCCCGTTTAAACCTTTTGAAGCAGAATTAAACACTTTTAAATGAAAAGTAAGTGAAAGATAAAATTATGAATTTAAAAACATGAGCTTATGTGTTCATACGGCGGTCATCATAGAACATTTAATGTCAAACGTCAGTGCCATTCCATGAACAGCGGCGTGTGGTCCAAAAAATAATAACATGCGTGGCATTAAATGAGAAAACAATAGGCGAAACTAAATAAAATGGAATTTTGAAAGAGGATCAGATGTTATGAAGCCTGCAAATCGCAGATAAGCTGTCAAAAGACTAAATGTAAAAAACAGGCAACGTATCCTACGTATCCTAAGGGTGGTTCAATAGTATTAATTTGAGGTATACTGGACCACTTAGCTAGGAAAAAGGGAACAGAAAGAATTAAAAGTACCTTAAACACAACAATGATGTTGAAATACTGAAGGATTTTCAAGGTCCCTAACTGAATGAACGAGGCGACTTTTTTAGGCCTCGACACGGCAAACACAAACAGGAGATAAAATAAAGAAGCCCTAAAGACATCACAATGGCCCAATTTTTAGAAAGGAAATAGTTAAGATAAAGATTGGAGATATGTAGTTACGCTAAACGATCTGCAGACATCCGATTGGTTATTATTTAGGATTCATGTAATGAATACAGTCTAGCTTAATCGTTGTTGAATTTGTACACCAGAAACAGTGCGACAATAATCAAGACCTGTACCTACACAATACTAGTAACTTGTGATGCAAGTCAATTTTGGATTATTTGAATATCCAGATAAAAACACACGTAATTAGGTACAAATAATTTAAGGTATGTGATTCTTTTTAAATCATTCTTATCACATTTTGCATTTACTCTTTTTGCTCATACTATTCCGGATCATTTACGTTTTAAGAACGCGTTTGTTTTATTCAGTCTTAACCTTCAAGGTTGAATTTTAGACGAGTGATAAAAGTGGTAGAGAAGTCAATAATGCTCAATGTCATAAGAGCGTCTCTACATTAGAAAAAAATATATATTAAACTTGCAAATATAGATACACTAAAAAATAGGAATTGTACATTACAGTTTTGCATTTTTTTTATTTCATTTAATTGTAATTATTATTATTATTATTATTATTATTATTATCATTATTATTAGTAGTAGTAGTATTATTATTATTAGTAGTAGTAGTAGTTTTATTTGTCTGACGATAAAATGTTTGAAAAACAAATATTTTAGGTTACAAACTTACATATGGAGGGAATTACCCGCCCGAAGTATTAGTATCTTTATGGTATGTTTAAATCTGAATGTTCCTAATCCATGTATGTTGATCATATTCTTATTCATGCACATAAGATTTGTCCATCATATACAGAAATACAAAATTATATATGTATCTATGCCATTGTAAGGAATATTATTGAAGATTGTCAATGCAGAAACTGCATTATCGCTTTTGACTTACTTGTAAGTATTGTGCAAAATGACGAAATATCATGTAGAAGTTGTATTTATAGAGATATGAACCATCTGTTTTATTAATGACATGTTGTAATTTGATAAATGAATGTAGAATATACCCACATTTCATTATAACCTTGACTTAATAATAAAACACGGTATAAGAACGTTACCAGTCTGCATATTTTTGACGAGTGGAAATAACACTGACGATTACTTTCTTTATATTTTTATGACCGTTATGGTTGTGTATTATTGCTTATTTTTAGTTAAAAAGACTTATTATGTTAAATTACTGATTAATCAGTCAATTAACAGATGCATGCGACATCAATTATGTCTTGTTTTATTATCATCATCATCATTATTATTATTATTATTATTATTATTATTATTATTATTATTATTATTATTATTATTATTATTATCATTAGTATTATTATAATTATTTAGTCTTTTATTCATACCAGAGAGCTTTCACGTTGCATCCTTAATATTTCAAATAATTACACAAATAGTAAACATTAAGTGAAATAATATATTAAATATTAATATATAAGTAATATGTAATTAAGCTTCAAGGATCGAATAAAGATAACATATCTTCTCGTCAATAAATTGTTTGGCCTTTTAACATTTGACGATTTGATTATAAAATGTAAAAGAACTCTACTGGACATTATGCTCCTTATATTAAGCACACTTTATAAATTTGATCGACCAATAAATATTGGTGTATTGAGGGTGTCTAGTGACACATCCGACCATGACTAATAAATTGATTGAGAATATTGCATAACTCTTTTTAAATCATAATCCGCTATGCTGAAGAAATATCGTCAACAAATTATTGTATCTTATAGGTATAACAAATAAAATTTTTACGACCTTCAAAAATGTATGTTGCAATAAATTTTCATTTTGGCAATATATAGGATTTGTAACAACATGATTCCTATATTTACTTCCAACAAGAATTTGTAACAGAGTTTCCAACGTTCCCCGCCTCGGGAAGTTTTATATGCAGCATAAAATTGTGTTATTTCAAAAGATTGAGGTATGGATCTCAAGACTTTCAGTCCAAAATTATGATCAATGCTAGATCTGCAATTGCAACAATAAATTTATTAAAGAAATAAAATTAAACACGGAATTTAAAAAATAAATTTTGACCTTTAATGTTGACCTTGACCTTGGATGTAGGGGTGCAGGTGTTGTGCATGGCATATTATTATATTATTGTAATTTTTAGTGTCAAGTATTTTTAAAATCCCTTGAACTATGAAGAAGTTATAGATCGGACACAAAATATACCCTATTTCAAACTATGTTAATCTTTGACCTCTAAGTGTGATCTGGAGGTAGGGACCCATGTTTTGTGCCTGATATATCGTTTTATTATTGTGATTATTTGTGCAAAGTATTTTTGAAATCCCTTAATCTATGAAAAAGCTATGGACTGGACACAAAATATACCCTATAACAGATTGTAAATCTTTGATCTCTAAGTGTGACCTTGACCTTGGAGGTAGGGACACAGGTGTTACGCATGACATATCATCTTATCATTGTGACTTTTTGTGCCAAGTATTTTTAAAATCCCTTGATCAATAAAGAAGTTATAGACGGACACAAAATATACCATATAACAGACTCTGGTAACTTTTGACCTCTAAGTGTGACCTTGACCTTGGAGGTAGGGCTGCAAGTGTTGTACTTGACATATCATCTTATTACTGTGACTTTTTTGTCCTAAGTTCTTTTAAAATTCCTTTGAACTATGAAGAAGTAAGAAAATATACCCTATAACAGACTATGTTAATTTTTGACCTCTGAGTGTGACCTTGACCTTGGAGGTAGGGACGCAGGTATTGCACTTGACATTTTGTCTTAATATAGTGACTATTTGTGCCAAGTATTTTCAAAATCCTTTGATCTTTGAAAAAGTTATGGACCGGACACAAAATATACCCTGTAACATACTATGTTAATCTTTGACCTCCAAGTGTGGATTTGACCTTCAAAGATAAGAATGTTATGGACCGGACACGACATATACCCTCAAATAGACAATGTTGACCTTGAATGAGCAAGTGCGACCTTGACCCTGGAGGTAGGGGTCTGGTTGTTGTGCATGACACATTGTCTTATTATAACAAATATTTGTGCCAAATTATTTCAAAATCCTTTGATAAATGACATACGTTAGATAAGTTATGGACCGGACACGAAAGTGTGACGAACGGATGGACGGACGGATGGACAGATGGACGGAACCTATTTCTATATCCCCCTTTTTTCTCCGAAAAGGCGGGGGACAATAATATGGCAATAGTGGCTGTACACAAATTTCCAGTTTGTCTTTAATAATGTAACAGTGACGTTGGATTTAGTGTACGCTTAAGTTAGGAAAATGTCGTTGAAAAAGGTAAAACGGGTCTTAAAAGATCTCGACATACAACAGTAGATTTACTAATGAATGATAAATGCCAAGAAGGTGAAATTAGTAAAATCATCGGAATTCCATCAAATGAAACATTCTTTTACGAGTCGTTTTGAATTCACAACTTGTCTTTCTCAAGTTTACATCAGACGTAAAAGGAATTGCCATATAAAAGTATTTATGTTATATAAACCGGTAATGATTTATTTTTGTGCTTATTTGTGTGTAGTTTAAGTAGTTAAAGTACAGTCCACAAGTATTTCGTAACTAGATTTCATGCAATATTTGTGCATGTATGCATTCCGTAACGTGAATGCTTAAGAGCTAATAATCTTGATAGATTATGGATGAAAATACTTTCGATAAAGAATTAATCGTAATAAAGAAAATCAGCGAAATGTCTAAGAAAATCCTTCAATTTGTTATTAAGGCTAATTGTGAATTTCAAAACGAAATCAGATATAATGCAATGAAATGAATTTCTTTTCCACAAAAATGAGAAAAATATCATTGAAAATAGATAATAGAAGTATTTGTAATTTCCTACAAATACTTATGATACATATGGTCTTTTCCAGTCTAATAACTATGTAGTAGAACTTTTTTAAATAATGGAAGTTTTCAAGGTATATACGCGTCTACCATTGTGCGCATTAGATAGATAATTTAATTTAAATGTGTTAAGTTTACTGAAATGTATAATGATAACATCTCTGACAATTAAATAGCATGTTTGTCTAAGGCACACCTCAAGTATGTACTAATTCCACAGAGCATGATAATCTTTCAGGTTTTTTTTTGTTGTTTTTTTTTACAAAAGAAAGTTACACTTTCGCAACTATTATTTGATAACATAATATGTTATTTCCCTTGCATTGAAACAGATATTAGTATACATTTGTGTTAGAAAAGCAGTCATTACCAAAATGTTTGTATGTAAACGATTTATTGTAAAATTAATGTTAAAGCATACATTATGTTAAATTACTGATTAATCAGTCAATTAACAGATGCCCGGGACATCAATTGTGTCTTGTGTTTTGGTTGCTGTTGTTGTTGTTTTTTTTAGCAAAAAAATATATATTCTAGAATATTACTACAATAAGTATGTGCCTAATTATACAACAGTTGTTTTATTATTTTTCAATTATAGACTGGTGAAACAGGTAGGTATATTTGAAAAAGTCTGAGGCAATAAGAACGTAGATACATGATTATTAGACGAAAAAAGCTTTGAGGTAGAGAGGAATGACATGAATATATATGTTCATATGATTATCTGTAAGGAATAATTCTTATAAATATTGTGATACAAATTGTCAAACTGGTATTGTTTTTCTTACTTCGATGAAGAAGAGTATCATGGTATATTTGTAATATACTATTTTTTTCTCCTTTCTTTTGACAATCAGTATTATGGATAGGACAGAGTTTACGAAAAGCTATTTAAAGAAGACATATTGTGTAAGTACAATGCCAAAACTAAATTAGGTGAAATGCAAGAAATAAAAGTTTTACAAAGATTCCATAACAAAGTATTTCTCAATTTTGATTCAATTAGTCATTTTTCCTTGCGTATTTTTCATTATTTTTATCTTTTATTGATTAGTTGAAGTCCAATGATCCGTTACAGTTATTCCACGGGGTTTACGTGTATATTTTTATATATCATAAATAAGAAAATTGATGAAATTAAATTTCAATAATGCTTGCCAGTATATAATCAAATGTATGTTTTAGAGATAGAAAATAACGATGTTTAGTTTGTTATTTATAAAGATTTTAAATGGAAATTAGAGGATTTCGTTAGGCACAATAATATTTCTATAAGTACCACTGGTTTATATTATACCTTCTTACTCTCAATGTCCCGGGTAAGTTTCAAGAAATATAAATGTAATTTAAAAGCTTCCTAACATTAAAACTGGCATAAATGAAAAGTATTGACTCACATATCTTTGACAACCATGTTTCGGGGGTAAAGTCCGTTCTATAACTGAGAGAAACTATTTTGTGTTCCTTTTCTAACTAAGAACAGAAGAAAATAAATTGCATTGTTTGTGCTGTCTTATTCAATTATTAACTTATGTTTTGCAATTTCATGGAAAAGAGTTAAAACGCGGCATAAATGTTCAGATCACCAGAATCTAAGGTTCAGGGTGAGCTATTAGTATCAAAGGGGATGCTCCGGCGTCCGGCGCCCATCGTCATGCAACAACATTCATATTCTTGGCAAATTTACTTCAGATCTAATCTCGTGTACCCTTTTGACAGTCGTACTTACATTTGCTCATATCAATACAATTGGCCCCTTTTAAGGGACAACAGAGCTAAAATGGAAAAACCCTCAAACTTCTTTTTCTAATGAACTAATTTATGCATAAATGAATGATCACCGAACTTTGTGTAAAGTTTTCTTATAGTATGTTATCAAATTTCTTCAAATAAATTTGATTGGTCCTCTTTGGAGCTTCTTGAGCTAAATAAAGATTGTTTAAACATCTTCTTCTACTGAACTAATTAACTGAATATCACCAAACTTTGTTTGTAGCATTCTGAGGTTGTCTTTTATCTGCTTTGCTCACATCAATTTGATTGGCCCTTTTAAGTGGCCCCTAAAGCTAAAAGTTGAAAAAAACGCTTATTGATGTATTATCACCTCATTTTGTCTGTTGCATTCTGAGATGGTATGTTACCAAATTTATTCAGATTTATTTGATTTGCCCAATTAAGGGGCCTCTGGAGCTAAAAATAGAACTTCAAACATCTTCTCCTACTTCAAACATCTTTTACTGAACTAATTGATGGATGATCAATGAAAAATGTCTGTGGCATTCTTGGGTAGTATTTTATCAAATTAATATGATTGATCACTTTTAGGGCCCGCTAAAGCTAACATTACAACAAAAACATAAAATGTCTTCTTTTATTGAACTAATTGATGGATGATCACAAAAATTGTCTGAACTATTCTTCGATACTCTTTTATCAAATGTTCTCATATTAATATGATTAGCCATTTTACAGGCTGCTTAGCTTAAAGTATGAATAACCTTTAAACATCTTCTTCTTTTGACCTAATTCATGGATGATCTCCAAACTTTGTTTTTAGCATTCGCAGAAGGTCTGCTCTCACAATTGTTCATATAGTAATTTGATTGGCTCTTTTAAGGGGCCTACTTCATAACAAGTCCTTCATCAAGCACATAGAGACCACATACCCTCGTGACAAATCCTGTTATAATTTAAACTGAGATAAATCGCTGTCTATCAAATAGCGACAGACCGCGCATCTTTCGTCTGGTCGTCTCCAAACTCGAGTACGCTTATCATATGTTGATAAGTCGAACCTAATATTGTCAATGAAAACCACATAATCCAAATCTCGAAAATCGCCAGGATAATCGTTTCTGAAATTTTAACTCACGTATTGTATTGTAAAATATCGAATAGACGTAATTACTGCAGTGTCGATGCAGAATGTGAACCTTTGATAATTGTTATAAGCAGTGTAATACAATCGATATCCTGTAAGTAACATGTTGACATTTCATAATTATATAACATGTTCATTGTCAAAATTGCGAAAAAGCTTCAGGTTTTATTTATGTTGACCTTGTATTAATGAATAACATCTTGTTCTGACACAATTGAAAACTTACTTAATATGATATCTCATGTTTCAACTTAGTTTGCCATGGCTGAGTAACTTTTTGTTTTAATTTCAAAATGTATACATTTATGATTTAGCAGTTTTTCTGCCAGGTTACGATTTTCTAAATAAAAAAAGTATTGACAAAAAAAGAATCGCATCAATTACAACCCCATGTTCTGAATAGCCTAACATTGTTAAAACTGTTAAAGTTGGAACAGTGTTTGCATTTGATACTCCGTACGACCAATTTTTCGCTGGGCAGTTACATTGACCGTTTTAATCAGTCTGATTTCGACCTATAATTTTTATTCTTTATGTTCTTATTCCTGTCGTTTCATTTAGTTTATTTTGTTCCATGTAGCCTTTATCTGCGGTGTTTTATGTCTCTTCTTTAACCGTCTTATATTCTAAATATATTCGATAGAAATGTTATGTTTGCCTTGTGCCTACAATGTGTTATGTGTTTTATGCGTTATTCGTTCAAAATATTTGTTTTTAAAAGTTATATGTAGATATTTACACTTTGTTTCCCATATCAAATATGGAAATATGACCTGTGTTAAAATTTTAAAGTTAAATGATTATTAGATCTGCAGTTGTTCTATTAGTAAATAAAACAGCCGTAATGGTAAATGACATCATTGCAAAATTGGTTTAGAGAATATTTCTTTAAATTTATATCCTGGAGTTTTTTTTTCTCAAATGAATTATAATGTACATTTGTTACATCACAGATTTTAAGTTATTCGTGATCTCGTTATTTTGGACAGCATTTATACCTCATTTAGTTCTTGTGTAAAAGAAACTCAATAAGTTTTTATGTCAGAAAATGTTCGCTAGAAAATGTAATAAGTTACATGCGTTACGTAAGTTTTAATTCAGCAAATATTAGAACAGAAACAGTAACTATACGTAAATACTTAGGAAATTCATATGTGAGCAAATGTTTGGTAAAACGTGTTTAAATGACTTTAGTTAAAACTAAGCAAATATTAAGTGTCAGAACGAAAGTAAAACGTTCCCCTGATGTGTGTGAGTAAAAAATATATATGCGTATATCAACTAACTTAAATTAATCGCATATTAGGTACAGACATCGGCATCATTAATTATACACGTCCTTTAAGCCTTGGTAAAAAAAAGAAGAAAAAAAGACTTATGTGAAGGATATTATAGATAAGCATTTACAACGTTGAATGGAATGCTTATCTTTGCGTCTATATATTTCAAGTGTATTTTTATGCTCAAAGTAACTGTTCAATCTTAACAATATGGTCATTTTTTTACAACAACTATTCTGTTTTATATACATGTTTTTTGTGCTGCACTATAAAATTTACTTACTGATTTGTGAGTAGGGAGGAGGTTAACACTCAGCATTTGTAAAATATTAAACATCTAAGTTTTAAGCGTATTGCAGTGCATGTAAGTGTTATACTTGAAAAGAAAGGTTAAATGCGCGGTCAACAAGGGAGAGGACATTTACTTAACGCATCCCCAAATATTTTTTTACAACACAGACACACAGCGGGGCAACCGACAAACAGGAGGGTACATCAGAAGGACTTAACAAAGAAGGGGTGAAAAAAATTGAAAATAATTTTCATAAATCTGTTTTAATCAAGGATTATAATGGACAGAAAGGTGATATTAAATGAGATTTATACAATGCTAGGGGGTGGTATCCTCTCATGTGAATCTGTTTAGTATTGTTGTTAAAATCAAATACAAGAATATTAGATAACTGTCCAAAAATTGATTCAAATGCAGTAACAGCAACTGCCAAAAAGATGTCTCAACAGATAATGTTAGAAATTCATGAGAGATTGCATCTAGGAATCTCGTCAAGGCTTTATCAGCGCCATTTGCCAGTTCATAACAGATAGCATTAAATTGGTTTCAGCTATGAGCTCTTTAGATAGAAATCGATATCAGTCAGTTGGCCTAAACGTGTAAATTTTAATTGAGCTGGCTCACGTTTATGTAAAGTAAAAATCTTATTTGTAATCGTTTTTTGAGCCAGATTGTATGATAAAATAATCTTAATCAGAGGAATATATTCATGTATATATAATGCTATGTAAAGCATCAATGTAATGGGTAACAGTCATTATCAGTCGATTGCACAAGTGAGTTTGCAAAGTGGGCTATATAAATATATATAAAAAAGTCATCTTTTTAATATCGACTTCATTTAATAGCCTCTCATTCACTTGTCTTCGAGACAAAGTAAATTATTGATCAATATTTTTATTATCTAGAAAATATGGGTGTCGATATACAAACGTATCGGGCAAGAATTGGTACTTACAGTCATTTCCGTGGCAGTGATGTAACAACCGTTCCCAACATAAGTGATGAATTGAAAACTGTAGGATGTGTGTTATTCATCGGAATCCTTTTAATGATTGCTGGAATTGAACTAAATCCAGGGCCGAAGGAGGAAGGTATTTGCTTAACTTATAGGACCGTAAATCACGACCGGCAAACTGTCGCTCCACTTCAAAATTGTCGTGTACGGTAAAACGAGCGTACGGCATTTCCGAAATAGAGCGGAAGGCCGATTTAAACGGATAATTGTAAGTGTTGTTTATGTTTTTGTCTTGATAATAAGTTGTATTTTTTCGAAAAACGAATATATATTCATGTGTATATATAACGGAAAAGTTCCCCCATGCTTTGATATAATTTTCTTTTTGTTACAGCTTAGATCATTGGAAGCCTAAATCAGTCCTACACGGAACTACATTTTCCGTTTTTCGAAAAAATACAACTTAAATGAATAACAAGACAAAAACATAAACAATTTTCCGTTTACTTCGGCCTTCCGCTCTATCTCGGAAATTCCGCTCGCTCGTTTTACCGTACACCACAATTTTGAAGTGGAGCGACAGTTTGCCGGGCGTGTAATTGATGTTAGATAAATATGTGATAACGTCTGCCATGTGAACGTAATTTTGATACATTTTATGTAGTTGTCGATAAACAAACAAATTAACACTTTAAGATTTGTGTTTTTACAAATGATTTATTCAATATTTTAAACGGTCAATTTCTAAGAGTCTTCCCGTAATGACCGTTCTGTTAATACCTTGAAGAATGACAACTTTATTATCTATTTTATTTAAAGTATTTTACAAATCTGTTTTATTTTTGTACCATGAGCCGGAAATTATACTCAATATAGTTTTTGTTCTTTTTCTATTGTCTAAATATATTTAGTCAAAATGAAATGTCCAGATAACTGTATTACTTAAATGCACATATTAAATCATCTATAATCACGGTCAATTGATGCATCAAAATGTAAAAAATATCAATCAAGTACAATTAAAACCATACGATGCTTTGATGGACAATGTAAATTTTACTGGATTCAATTGTAGAAATCATCTGCAGTTCATTTAAGGATACGTTGCACCGTTTAGCCAACTACACATATATGAAGATTCAAAGATTTTTAAAGTAGATGTTTAATGCAATCGCAACTTTTCGGTCCTTTCCGTCAATCTTCAAGGTTAAGATATGGAATTTCGGTCTAACCGACGCTAAGAAAATAAACATTATATAAATAGATGACTTAATGCTTGCAGTTTTGTTTACTATTTTTGTTCCAATATATAGTAAAATCAACCAAAAATAAGTAAATTAAGAGCTATAAAGAAAAATAGTACATAATTTCAATACTTAATGAAACCGAAAGTACAAACTATCTGACATTAACTTGTATTGTTTATTTAACTGCATCAATGGGCATTTTTCAAATGGTTAAGAATGTCTGCAAGTTACGTAATGTATCATTCTATTATGTGGCAAAGATAGTTTGAATCATTCATTTAAATGCAATACACTTAAAGATACGTAACAGAGTTTCGACAACTTGACATATATGAAGATCCACTATATCTACCGTTTAAATCGTTAAATCTTTATTATGTCAAGTTATATGAAAATTGCAGGCTCTGTTTTATTCTGTCTCTGTTTAAAATTATGTTGATTTGAACTTAATAACAATTGCTTGGAATAATTGTGTAAAATTCCATTTAATAAACCATCCATAAGAACGCTGCATGAGCGTTCATGCCGCTTAAAAGTACTCAGAAGACGTGCAGCCAATGCTATGGACGTCTATTTGATACTACAAACATGATTATACCAAAAAAAAAACTACTTGTCATATCACGCAATGTTAAAACAACAAGAATATAAAAATTACAGTATTCATTCATTCAAATCCAAGTGTAAGTAAAATACCTGTTTAACAATCGTTTTCTGTTGAATTTATTTTTCTTTCATTCAAAATCCAAAACCTGGAAACGTTACAATTTATTTGAACAGAATTACTGTCATAAATGTATCCAAAGTGTCTTTAACAACCAACATCTCTTTCTGTAATAATGCCGGATTTGCCCATATAAAAATCTGTAAACAAAGTGATCCCTCGGAAGCATTAATCCCTCGGAAGCATTAATGATAATGAATAAGTGCAACATCCCTCACGCCCCCTAGCACCAGATTGAGCTGTACTAAATTCTCAACACTTAATAGTTCTGGCATCAATGATCCCGAAGGACCAGAAAAAATATAAAAACACTGAAGTGAAGTACGGCGCAACATTTTACAGCTGCCACACAACACTTAACACCTGCTGTTGTGAAGTATAAAAATCTGGAGACAAAGTAATCCCTCGGAAGCATTAATCACAACAAAATTACATAAGAAGTGCAGACCCGGTTTGATTGAGTCTGTACATGAGGGATAATAGATAAGTGCAACATCCCTCACGCCCCCTAGCACCGGCTTGAGCTGTACTCAATTCTCAACACTTAATAGTTCTGGCATCAATGATCCCGAAGAACCAGAAAAATATAACAACACTTAAGTGAAGTACGGGGACACTTTTTACAGCTGCTACACAGCACTTGACACCTGCTGTTGTGAAGTATAAAAATCTGGAATGAAAGTGATCCCTCGGAAGCATTAATCACAACAAAATACCATAAATATTGCAGACTCGGTTTGATTGAGTCTGTACATGAGGGATAATGAATAAGTGTAACATCCCTTACGCCCCCAGCACATGCTTGAGCGGTACTCAATTCTCAACACTTAATAGTGCTGGCATGCATCAATGATCCCGAAGAACCAGAAAAATATAACAACACTGAAGTGAAGTACGGGGCAACTTTTTACAGCTGCCACACAACACTTGACACCTGCTGTTGTGAAGTATAAAAATCTGGAAAGAAAGTGATCCCTCGGAAGCATTAATCACAACAAAATTACATAAGAATTGCAGACTCGGTTTGATTGAGTCTGTACATGAGGGATAATGAATAAGTGCAACATCCCTCACGCCCCCTAGCACCGGCTTGAGCGGTACTCAATTCTCAACACTTAATAGTGCTGGCATCAATGATCCCGAAGAACCAGAAAAATATAACAACACTGAAGTGAAGTACGGGGCAACTTTTTACAGCTGCCACACCACACTTGACACCTGCTGTTGTGAAGTATAAAAATCTGGAAAGAAAGTGATCCCTCGGAAGCATAAATCACAACAAAATTACATAAGAATTGCAGACTCGGTTTGATTGAGTCTGTACATGAGGGATAATAGATAAGTGCAACATCTCTCACTCCCCCTAGCATCGGCTTGAGCGGTACTCAATTTTCAACACTTAAAACTTATTTTTACGCTATCTTTTACAAAATGTGAATAGCCAATTCAAATCATGTATCATAGTTAGCTTTAGAGTCTTTCATTTAACATACTAAATATATACAAAAACACCATGTGTGAAACTTAGTTGCTCAAATCTAGCGTACTTTGTAAAATCTAGTGGAATTTTTAATTGTGAATTAATAATGAGTACATGAATGGATACATATGACTTCCTTATGTTGTTATGTCTGATTTATTTAATAATAATAATAATAATCAAGACATATCATTTGTACAATAAGTGCTTGATATTGTTATGCTATTGTAAACCCATGTGTTTCGTTAATAACTTCGTTACTTGCTCATCAATATATAAGTAAGTCTGGTTTTACGAATGCAAAAAATTGTTTGAAAATTTATAATAACTACCATATATTTATTGATTTTTCAGAAAGAATAAATGTTACTTCCGCAAAGACATCACGTATTAAAATTTCTCAGTTAAAGAAAACTATCAATAAAGAGGTGCTTAAATCATTTTTCGAAAACGAACAGAATTGCGGCGGACAAGTTAAAAATATTAAATTTGACAACAAAACCCAAAGTGCCATCATCGAGTTTGAAAACAATTCAGGTGAGAATCATTTAGTATAATTTAATATGATATCATTCAAATGACCATTTACTTGGTTATATTATTGGTAGTTAAACAGGTTGCTGATCTGAGATACTGATAAATTAAAAAAAGGTAAATAGTAAATCTAACAATTCAAAATTTGTCCTAAACATATGTACAAATTTGCTATAATTGTTATATTCTAATGCAGGTACCAATAGGAATAAGAAATGACATAAAAAAACTTGATATTTCTGTAAGAGACGATAGCTGAGATTTTTTACCTATAAGCTTTTCTTCAACGTATAACCGATTGTCAAATAAATTCAAGCATTGCATATTCTTTGGTGTATATTGTTATGCAACTGGTTGTCCGTCCGTCTTTTATCAGTTGTAATGTCCGGTCTACATTTTTTGAACCAGTGAAATGAAATAAAAACTACATTGCGGAAATGTTAACCATGGTTAACATGTTAAGAAGTTCAGAGCACAGGTTTGACCTTTTGCAGGTCAGTGTCCCACTTGTGTATTAATTTCAAAATTGTTGTTTCAGTTCTGTACCTTAAGAAAGAAAGAAATCAAAATTTGTTTGCCAGAATTATTATATATAATGAAACAGTGTGCAGAACAGACGTTCGGGCTTCCTGAGATGAAATAAGCCCGACCCCGGGATTGCTTAATTTATACTGACTTATATAGATAATCACATATAAGTGTCACTGTGTAAAACTACAATGTCTTAGATATTTAGCAATTAGACCTTTACAAAACTGATATGAATCATGCCCTTTGGTTCTATATTGACTACATCCCAGGGTCTCTTAATTTATGTAGACATGTATAGAAAAAAAAACACTTCTGAAACCAATAAAATTAAAATTCTCAGCTTAAATAGGTAATTGCAATGTAACATCACTTAGTCCATCACAAAATAACTGGTATAAGTCAAACCGCTTCGATCAAATTGACACCACCCGGGGAGGGGGTCACTTTGTTAATATAGTTGTGTGTAGGAAAACACATTTAAGCCTTATTTTTGTGAAACTAGATATTTGACAAATAGCATTGCCTCGTTGGCCTCATCAAAAACTGGTATAAGTCATGCCCCTTGGGTAAATGTTGGCTCACCCCTGGGATCACTTATTATTATAAGTGCCAATTATTTATAGCTTAGATAATCAGCATGAAGCATTACCTTTTAAATGTCTGAAAAATTAAGATTAATCATGCTCCTGGTGTCAACAATACAAGAAAGGAAGAAATAAATAAAAATTTCTAGTTTGCTCCAAGTGCTATTTTAATTAATAAACTTTATCTGAGCTCCAATTATCATCTCGAATTTCCATAGGATAAGAGCAGTTACATAGTGACCCACAATTTTCTGATAATAGGTCAGTAGCTGTCCCACTTCTGTTTCACATGAACATAATTGCACAATTTGTTTTTTTAATATATTGTTCTATAGTATCACACATTTTAATACATTTTCACTTTATGCCTAGTGAAAAAATGCCTAGTGTTTAGAAAGCTTGTTGTGACAACGGTTGTTTCCCCTGCCAGTCTCCCTATATTCATACACACGTTGACATTTTCAAATTTCGTGCTTGTCAATAGGAAATATTATCAATTATCTTGCCTACATAGTTTCAAAATGCATATACATTCGCATCGATAAAGTGTTGTTCTTCATGTTTTCTAATTTGTTGTTCCAGAACGATTTTACTAAACAAATGTTTGACCCATAAACCTCACACCTCTAACTAGTGTAAATATTTGAAGAACTAAGTGATGAAGTCGTTGTATAAATAAATTTTGCGTTTTAATTAATGACTTGTAAAGTAAATGACAAAATTATTATTGCCGTATTCGATTTGTTGTTTTTAAATAACATGTCCTTTACTTTATACTTGTTGCATTGATGCATAATTTTCTTTTCAGCTGTAAATAGAATATTGGACAACAAACCGTTAAAAATTGATGGAATAGAAGTTGAAGTAGATAACCTTGGTGAGTTTTAAAAGGTTGTTGTAAAGAGAAAAATATTGTTCAAAGTTCATTGTTGACGACATCTTTACTAAACATTCAAAAAGTGATAGGCCTTTTTCTTTGGAAATTGATCATACAAATTAACGAAATATTAAAGCTGAAAAAGATATTATACTACAAGACATTTGACATAGCTGACGATAGTATGTAGCAGCGACAATCCATATTATACCTTCCTTTTTTCTTTCATACTATGTTTTAGCGGCGAGTAAATAATGATGTTTCAATGTAGCCACTCAACTTCTAACATGGACAAGAATATAAATATTTCAAGCAAGAATTTCCGCTAAATTTATATTTCTTTTTTATGCTTTGTACTCGAAAAATTGTAACTGTGTTGACGTAGAAACAATTCACAACTACTAACGTACATGTCAGGGGTATTCTCGTCTTAGAACACGATTATTTAATGATATATTAATATATGTTTACACAAATTCAGTATTCTCTAACTCTATTAGATGAAACAAATGCAATTACTTTTAATTTACATTTCGTCAGTGTTTCTTTTAAAACGGCAAAATGTTTTACGTAGGAAATAAGATAAATACATTGTATAACTAACTGCTGACGGATACCAAATCTGCTTTTCAAAAGAATTCATCGTAATTTATATTATAAGCAACATGGATATTTAGAATTGATCACAACTCTTTGTCTTCCTCTTTTATTTAAATCTGTTAAACTTTTATGTTTTGTAAAATTCATATTAACGGATAAAAAAGTAATAAAACAAATGTTTTAATAAGGAGAGGGCATTTATAGGCTTGCATAGATTATTTTCTGGTGTAATTGACTGTATTTATACTTTGTTAAGGTTATTGTTAATATACGTTAACTTTCAAAGAAAACAATTAAAGTTTCTTATATTCAATCTAAAAGAAAATCATAAGATGTATACCATTTTATCACTTGATACCCATTGTATGAATGAAATGTTGATTAACATTTTATTTGAAAAAGTACATGACAGTATAGGTGCACAAATCGATTATGCGTACGATGCCCAAGGAGATGAAACAACCGATCAACAGTTTGATTATGACGATGAACATGCGAAGCTTTTAAGCGCTGGTATGATTATTTATAATTTCATGGATTTTATTTAAAAATATAATATGCGCAAAATAAGAAAAAAATTATAATTGTTACACAGTGTCTTTGTAAATATGAAAAAAGCGTGCTTTAACTTCACATAAAATTGATATGTTGTTTTAAATTCTGCATACTATTTGAATATACTGTGCCTTTTAAAAACCTAGCATGTTTTAAATAAAGGAACAACTTTTTGTTCTGTAATAGAGAATGCAGCTTCTGGCAAAATCTAAAAACAAGCTTAAATGCTTGATTTGACAGCAGATACTATTTATACAACCTGATTTTCATGGAAAATATGATATTGAAGCAAAATAGTTACTTTCTATAATCAAAGTTAAATGCATTTGATTGTGCACTTATGAATCAGTTATTGCACAGATATGAGAGACTTGAAAAAGGTCATATATTTAGCAACACATCTATGACGTATATCAACATGGCCCAATGTTAAAAATCAAACATTTTTTTTTCATGAAAATATGTTTGTATTATGAATAGTACTGATACTGTTTGGACTTTATAAAGGCGTTTTGGCATTATCATTGTGGGAATAATGTATTCTTGGTAGTTTGATATAACTTTTCTAACTTGTAAAGTTTTGTTAATAGTTTCATGGAAAGTAGCCCGCACGTGACACGTAAGATTTTATGATAAATAAAAAACATATGTTTGATATAGAAATGCGCTTTATTGCATGTGCTTTCTGTAATTTATTACCTATTTTAAGAAAATGCACTTTTTTGCGAGCGGTAAAACGGATGCACACTTTCCTTAACTTTAACTTTTCTTTCAAGATGGAAGGCATATATAACATACTAAGGCCCAATATGTTATTTATCCCCTCCACGGTATATCTTGCATCTTCATCATTTAATGCTTTGATAGTGCTGATGTCTTTTTCAGAAGTAGCGGAAATTGGCCGCCAAGGGCGGGATCATCATATCACTAGTTTTACCTTCTCACACCTGACAATTGTACGATATGGAAGGGCATTTTCCCAATAAACTTAATCTAGACCCGTTTTGATTTCTGCCGCGCGTTTATCCAATATCCCATGAATTTTGTAATCAGCTCTTTGCTCCTCTCTCAAATCAAAATGTAACTCAGCCATGTTTACAACCAGTATAAAGGAACGCATGTCTTAATGATCTGCTAGTTTTTGCACAAACAAATCATGCGAAATGTTAAATAGAGTAGTTGCCACTTAAAATATGCCCCTCGTATATTTTTTTAAACAACTTATACTCTGTGTATGATTTGCATGTTAATTAAAATTTCAGTCGCTGAAGCCTCTCAAAATGACAATGAAAGTCCACAAATCGGTAATGATGGTGAAAGCCTCGGAGATGAAACCATCGATCAACGTTGTGGCTCCGATTTTGAATATGCAAATGAATCAGAAACTGGTTTGTTGTTCATGAAGTGTTCATGGCTTTGCTTGCTTAATTTTTAAGAAGAATTTTGTATTATTTCCTTAAATACATTTTGCAGAACTACTTTAAATCATTTTTATTTAATGCAAATATCCTGATAACTAACAAAAACAATAAAGTTAGGTTTCGTGTCGGTCGTCATATCTTGTCGAAATTTAATATATATTCTATTTTATTTCAGCTGGAGCAACATCACAGACTGAACGTAAAACTACAGAAGGGGGAGTAAGAAAACGTCTTGCGTCATTCTTTTCTTCAGCAAAGAAGCTAGTTTCAGGTTAATATAATTTATTTGTTAGCTCTAGCGATGGTGGTTATTCAGAGTAATAGTTTTTAATTATAAATGCATTACTTCATTTGGCTATTTTGTGCGATTATGTTAGGTGCATGAAAAAGGCTTTTAATATAATATGGTTTCTGCAAATTATCGTCCATTTTTAAGCAAATGTACACTCTTTCACGCTGTGAACCTACTTTAAACGATTTGAGCTATATTCTCCTTAATTTATTTTAATCATCAATAAATCCCTATTTTGTGTATAAGATTTTAACCGCAAATATTTGAGTATAATCAGTTATGTCGAACGACTATGGAAAATATATACCAGGATAGTTCATTACCAGTAATAAACATCTTAGATTGAACTATTGAAAATTCTAGCCAGGCAAAAGTTTGCTTTTATACAAGTTTCCTGTCATGCTGATCAAATTACTGCTTCTAAATTAATAAAAATAGTAACACCCCGCAAATCATTTCAAGTTTTATATTATTTATATATTAAGCAAATCAAGACTTGACTACCACTTCTGAATAAATATATACAAATAGAAGTTTTGTTATATAACAAAGGCTAAAAATGGAATCTCTTTTTCCAGCATTCACTATATGTCTGTCCAAATGAACTTAACGAACCAGTGTCTTAATCTTAATGTTGTACTATGCATGGTTTAAAACGCTAATTTCTTGTTAAGAACACATGCTTTTTTCATGGAACGACACAAACGTTTAAGGATTACAATTAACTGTATTATTGTATCCAATTATTTGCCAGTATTGTCAAATTCAACACTTAAATCAACAATTTTATCAAAGCTCTAACATCACAATAATTACTCTGTCACTTAAAAATCGTTAGAGCGTTTTTCTGTTGTTTTTTTACAAGTTATTTTCGAAGAAAGAAATAGCTTTTTCTACAGACGTGTTGCTAATGGTCATATGTTTTAAATTTGATTGAATTGCCCTACTTGCCAACTTTTCCGACAAAACCTTCATACTGATCAGACTGAATCTGATCTTCACTCATAAATGACTTTGACCTTAATGTTTGAATATGTTTGCTGTACTATTTTTATTAATATGTCGATTGTCTAAATGCTTGAATACAACAGTCCTTAGAACAATATATCAAAGTAGATCATATTGACTATGACTTTCACTAATCAATGACCCTGACAATTAACATCAAATTATTGAACAGTATTTAATACATGTATTTGCTATAATTCGCTATACATAAATTTTGCTATTTATATATGAGTTCTCTTTAGACCTGGCTACTACTAGAGATAATATTTGAAAGGAGATTGAACACAATTTGAAATTTGACTCAAAAATGACCATTATTAAGAATGTCAATTTGTTGTAATATCACAGTTTTTCCCCCATTATTAGCTATAGCTTTGTAAGTAATAATTTGATTGTTTTCATACTTGGGCACGTATAAAAAATTGTGATACAGGACATTAAAGTTGATTAAAAAGAACTTGATATTGACCTTAATTTTACAATGACACTTGTCAAGTGTGTGAATTTGGTAAATTGGCCGTCACTTTCTAATTTATTAATGGATTTGATTTATACTATGACTTAAGAACACTGATAACAAAACTCGTATTAAATGTAATTTAAACATGACCTTGACTTTTTCAGGTAAAATTGTTGAATTTAGTTTGGATTGTAAATAATTATTTATTTATTGGACAAAAAACAATATGACATTGACAAATTATTGACTTCAAGCGTAAATGTCAAATTATTGAGAAGTGCATAAAATTTCATATCTTTGCTATGAATTTCATTTGAAGTTTATTCATATCAAGAAAAAACACTTATTACTGGACTTGATGATTCATTCAAATGTTTCCTTGACTTTTAAATGAACTGGTCCATCAAGATCAAATATGAATGTTTTTTTTACTTAAAATATTTCATTTTTAGGAGTATTTTCTACTACAAAATTCTTCCTCCGATGTGTATGACTTTAGAATTAGTTATCAATTTAAGCACATTTTCACCAGTTTTGTCATTTTCAAAACATATATCAAAAGTTATGTCAGCATTAGCCTTCATATACCAACATTGTCATATTTAGCACTTACAACACCACCAGTCTCATTTAACCAACATTGTCATCCTAAACAATGTTATTAGTAGTATTGTCAGCCACAGCTCTTATGTCAACATAATTGTTGTTACGCTTTAACTTCAATATCATGGTCATCATGAGCAATAATATCAACAGGAGTGTCAACATTAGCAGCTAGATCAACCGAATCAGCTTTTATCACCATTATTTCATCCTAAGCTCTAACAACACAAACATCATCATACTAAGAACTTATATCAAATCGCTTTCATCCACAGATACAAGATAATAAGCAGTTATAGAGCATTGCAAAAATAAACGCATAAAAAAGGATTTTATTAATATCCTAAAATGCTCACTTGTATTCAATGAATAGATATATAACTACTGATAAATAGTGTTCATCATGACTCACACCATATTCATTTCCATATATAAAATAAACAACTGTTAAAGTGATGTCAATTAAGCTAACAAATTAGTACTTGGTTGAAGCGGAATGATAAGTAACAAAAATATTTTTTTTTGTTGTAAGTTTTTTAAATTTATCTTAGCCATTATATCATACAACACAACACTATATTATACACATCATACAACACTAAAATAGAGTACAAATCTGACACTTGCTGTTATAAGTACAACATTATTTTGTGTTTAAAGTTTTTTTTTAATTTATCTTAGCCATTGTATCATTCGAATCAAACCATTTTTAGAGATCTACAAGGCAACGTTATATGCCAAATATAGAGGCATTATATTTATCCATAAAAAGATGTTTTTCCTATACATTTGCCTACATAAGGGTGGCATTGGACATTTTTTAACTGATTCATATATGTCAAGTGACGCTGAGGCGCACCACTATTAACCACAGGGGCATCATTAATATCAGATGAGGTTTAAAATGTAATGATTTATGTTATACATATCAGCTCTCAGCATTGAAGATTCACAAAATATGACTTTAAAGTGTAAAAGACTATATTAAAGTGGCCACTAGAGCGAACAATTACGACATAATGAATATAATTAATACCAATCTTGTACAGGTCAACAAAGCTATTCGACATGCCAAATTTCTAAACACTAGACATTCTAGTTTCACTATTATTGGACTTCAATGGTTTTCCAATACAAAACTTTATTTACTAACTGACACCTGAACCTAATGAAACTTAAATTTGTTTTCCTATGTTAGTCTATAAAAATCATGTAGTCCACTGGGTTGTGCAAATGTTGATCTCAGGAAGCCCAAACCTATGTTCATATATGCCGAGTGTATAAAAAACTGTTAACCTATTAATTCCAAGTAAAAATTGACTGGACGTACTTAAATATTTTAAATTGCTTGGTTTAGGATAAATGTTCGATGATTTATGAAACTTTTTTAATTCGACCGAAGCAATTTTGGTATGTCAGAGAACAAGACTACTGATATTCTAGCACTTGATTTTATCACAAGCATATCCTTTAGCAGACTATTTCAACCAAAATAAAGGAAAATGTCGAAAACTGTATTTACTTCATTTGCTCGATTTTAGGTTTCGCGAATTATTACTTTCGCAAATTTGAGAGGAAAAAAATCGGCGATTAAACACACGATACGGTGTTTGCCTCCAGAGTCTTGTCCGTTCAAAACACATAGCTTCTAAGAACCGGGGTTAAGGCTCTATTTTGCTATTAGCAAGAGTAAAAAACACTTTGCATCTTGTTAAATATACCAATAATCTCTTTTTATTTTCTGAACAGAGACAGTCACAAGTAAAGTTACAAGAAAGAATCCCGCGAAAAATAATACAAAAGAATCCGATTCTTCACGACAAGCAGGTTAGTTATTTGAAGTTTGTTTCATTAGGAGAAATACAAAGAAAAACAAATCACTTGAACTTGTTTTAAATCCAAATATTATTATTTGATACAGCTTTCAGAACTAATTATGAATTAAGAGCTTTAAAAATAATTAGCTATGGCGAAAATCATTTCACAATTTGAGTGATTGGGGCTTGAAATCTTAAGGTCTAGATATTTAACATACTGATCATTTCATTATCATATTCACCAGCTTCCAATTTTACTTCTTACATTTTACAATTATGATCTGTCTTTTGCTTTCTTAAATCCCTCATCCTAATTGTTTCCTGAAACTCAGCCTTTGACAAATTTTGAAGTAAAATTGATTTAAACGACTTTACCTGAACCTTGGAGCATGATATTACTTACAAACTTAATTATATTCTTAAGTAAAACAACCTGTCACATTTACATCCAGCAAAATAAAAATGACATGGTGTTGCCATTTTTGAATAAAAACCTAAAGATTTACATAAAATTCTGCCTTGTCGAGTCCACAGAATCATCAAGGAAGTTTTCGGAACTCAAATGACTTTCACATTTTTTTTTCATGTAACAGGAGTTAAAAACTATCACGCTTTTATATTGCCTAGCGGAAAGAAACGGCTATATACGGATCACATTCCCATTGCCCATCCGTCTGGTCATTTTCCGTTCGTTTCAAAACGTGTGCAAACCAGTCCTCAAAAATCTACAGTCTCTGTTTTTTCAAAACTTTACAGGAATGATCAGTTCCAATTCTAATTGTGTATATCGTCGAAGTTTTTTTGTATTTCTGTACTATCTTCACTGTTCATTTATCGTATTGAACTGCACTATCTTCACTGTTCATTTATCGTATTGAACTGCACTATCTTCACTGTTCATTTATCATAATGAACTCCACTATCTTCACTGTTCATTTATCGTATTGAACTGCACTATCTTCACTGTTCATTTATCGTATTGAAATTCATTGTACTTTATCAAAACATACAGTTAAAATTACTCGGAAAAGCATCATTTGAATTGTTTAAATAAATACTGAGAAATGAAAATCTATATTTAAACTTTAAATTTGAAGGGCTTGATTAAAAAAGCACTGCATGTCCGTCCTTCTTTCTGGATCCGTATTTTACAACTGGTTGGTAAAATTTTTTAGCATTGGTTTAAGCCCTCCTAACACAAAACACATGGCTTACCCTGCAAATGGTACATACAACCGAACCAACTGTGGCATTATCTGAGTTATGCTCGTGCCATTTGAGTGTATCTGTGTAAGCAGTGTATGATTTTTTTAAACTTAAAAAACTGATACGGATGCAAGCCCTATTATGATCATATAAGCGACTGTACAAGATCGTAAGAGACCGTATATACAACCGTTTTTGAAGTCCACTCCACGAGTGACCCCGTGTCAAGATGCTACATAAATCGTATGAAATCATTTGAATGAACAACTCAGTCAGTTCTGCAAAGAAATTGAAATATAACACAGCTGTAGTAGTTTCCTAAACTAATATGCTTTCCAAGAGGGGTAGATTGAGTTCTACTAGTGTCATATCTTTAAAATATTAATGACAGTAGGTGACAGTAACTTTGATACGATGAGACAATGCCCTGTGATAGCGGCAAAAACATATTGCGTAAACGCCAAGGTCCAAATTTAATCAAATGATTTGTCCAAATCTGAAACTTACACCAGAGCAAGTATCTAGTCTCTTTTTTTCAAAAAGCCAAATCGTACACAAGTTTACATTCACAACGCTTCAGAATCCAAGATGGCGTCCAATATGGACGCTGCTTTTATGCAAAATGGGTATACCTTATTGTATATGTGATTGTGGTAAGTTTTACAGCAAAGATTATGCCGTTTTCAATTAAAAAAAAGGTGAACAAACAGTTTAGGAATGATCATGTTAAAATTAAATAACAATGAAATATATTACTTTTTAGGATTATGTCTTAAATGTTTCTGATAAGGTTAACTAAAAATAACAACAATATTCCAAGTAGCTACTAAAATTCTTAAATTGTTTTGTTTTTCATACATACTATGTGTGTTTTAAGATGTTATAATAAATGAATACAAGTATACGTATTTGCATACTTTATAAGTTATATACTTTGTTAAAGTGGGGTAACTTCACCCCAAAATAAGAGAAAAACAAAATTTTATTTTACTTTATTTATAATTTCATGCAATGATTATCTATTTTCATGTATTTTTATTGTTTTCAAGTATTTTTTTATTATGTTTCGGTGGGTGGGGTTAAATAGAAAAAATGCGCATATTGTGACCCACAGTTAGGTGTATCGAATTATCGAAAGCTACTGGAAGTATTGAAATATACTTAAATTCTCTTAAGTTGTTATAATAAAAATGTATAAGTTGTTCATAGCAATGGAAATGATATTAACTTTTTTTAAATAAAGGTATATTTTGTTACGTTAAAATATATATTTCCGGATAAGCTCTTTTTTCAAACTTGGTTTTTGGATGTTGAACGTATTTATTATCCCTTATGTACAGACTCGATCAAACCGAGTCTGCAATTCTCTTGTAATATTGTTGTGATTGATTTTTCCGAGGGATCACTTTGTTTCCAGATTTTTATACTTCACAACAGCAAGTGTCAAGTGCTGTGTGGCAGCTGGAAAAAGTTGCCTCATACTTCACTTCAGTGTTGTTTTATTTTCTGGTCCTTCGGGAGCATTGATGTCAGCACTATAAAGTGTTGAGAATTGAGTACCACTCAAGCCGGTGCTAGGGGGCATGAGGGATGTTGCACGTATTCATAATCCTCATGTGCAGACTCAATCAAACCGAGTCTGCAATTCTCTTGTAATTTTGTTGTGATTGGTGCTTCCGAAGGATCACTTTGTTTCCAGATTATTTTTTTCAACATGTATGCATGCATGCATGTGTTTTTATTGTTTATAATCCAATCAAATTGCAGAAAATGTGTTTACGCATTAATTTTCATTTATATGCACTTTATTGTTCTCGAGTATTTCGAGTATGGTGTTCTGGATAAAATTAAAAGACAGAAAAGAATATGTGTATCGAAATACTTAAAGCTAACAAGAAATACCAATTTTTAACCCAAACTTTATTATGTTGTCGTAAAAATAGGAATATATAAGTAAATATAATGTAAAATATGATAAACAAGATCAACAAGGAAAGGCAGCGCTCAATGAACTAAGCCTCCACCCAACCTCGAAATTTTCGAGTATTTTTGTGCCTTTACTTCTGACCCCAAGATTTGAAAATGTCATCTTCGGATCTAACCACGGCTTGGCATATTCATTTATCAACTTTTTGCTAGAACAAGATTGAAGATAAACGTATGGGACGTTCAGACATATGTACAGACAAACGACCCTATTAACCGCACTTGTTTAGTTGGGGAATGACAACTGAAGCAATCTTTAAAAGGTAAAGCACTAAATAAAGCAGTTTTAAAGAAAGTTAAAATGCAAAAACACATCATACTCGTACAGAAAAAGTTTAACTTTCCTTTATTTTAACAACCTTGAGCAGCCTTATATATGATGCCATTGATGACACAACTGCATGAAAGCATGAACTGTAATATTTTTATGGACAGACAATATTTAAAGACAAATAATAGCAGTTGGTCCATAATATTGCAATAACTTTGATATAATCTTCCTAATTATATCCAATTTATTTTGGTTGAATGGTGCATTAGTTAACGGTAAACAGATATATTTTTTTATAATGTTGTACGATAACATAAGCAAACGGTAATTGAAACAAGCCTACAGTCTAAGGCCAGTATTCGTTCTTATAAGCATATTCAAATCCGAGTAAAAAATATCATATGAATGGTATAAAGCTGAAGTGATAACAAAAAAATAGTATCAGATAGAGAAATGTGAAGGTCAAACATTATATATCACTGTCACAAGCTAAAACTTTTAGATAGACAAATTTCAATATTCCAAACACATGAATAGATTAATGACACACATAACATTTGATAAAATCATGTTCCAAAAACATGCAGAGCATAAATCAGTAATTTTTTGACTAACTAAAGCTGTATACCATGTATCTTTCACGTACGATATGATATCAATGCATTTATAACTTTTAAGCCCGGTTTAAGAAAACAAAATAAATGAGCGGCACAGCGGAAGAATATTTGAGCCATATTTGAAGAAACTCTTACCAGGATTAGGGTTTGACATCAAATTGTCTGATATTTGACCTTCAAGAGTGCACTTGACCTTAAGGCAGTACTGTGGTGGCAGAGGTGCTACATCATCTTATTGATGTTAACATTTGAGCTATGATTGAACTTATCCTAAAAGGGGTTACATTATTGTCAAAGCACACACAAAATTGTCTAATATCTGACCTTCAGATGTGACCTTTACGATTTAACCTTTAGTAAGTACAGCGACAACGTTGGTTATATGCATTGCATTGCTGAGATATATACATATTTTCGTCCAGTTTAAAGGGTAAAGTACTTTAAGGCAGAACGACACAAATTTGTCTGACAACTACGGTTTTTTCGTTATGGCCAGCGCGTTTCCTCTGAGAATGATCAGCTAAAAACATGACAGTATGTTGGTAACAGTACAATGCCGGTGGTCATATCTCGATCCAAGTAAAATGTTTTCCTAGAATTCTAACCATTGATGACCGAAAATGACCGGATGCTATTTTTTTTATTTAGCGGTGTCAGACAAATGACCATTAAACTCATTGGCCTGATACTGACAAATTATCACTGCTAATGTTCTGTTTCAACATGTAAAAACAGTCTAAAATATGCATTACATAAATCAAAAGAAGCAGATTGATAAATAAAACTGGACATGTTATAATATCTATAGCTGGGTAACATTTTCTCCTTCACATATCTCAAACATAAAATATAAAATAATATTTGTTATTTTAAGCCCTTCATTAACAGAGTATGTATAGTTATATACACATGATGTTGTTGGCCTTGACAATGAACACAACTTAAAGCCTTCAGTGGGTTTTAAGAAATCATACTATATATAAGTTTAATCTAGGATATCAAATGTGTAATTAAGTAGAAAGGTACAGTATTAATGTATAATACAAACTTAGTAAAAAAAGTATTCATTAATTATAGTGACATGATTTAAAAGGTATAAAAAAAGAAAGTCAAATTGGTTGGAAAAAATCAAACACGCTTGTTCAAATGGGCGTATATGTCACCATATGGATCACAAGTAAAATATCTTGAAAATCACGGAATATGGTTATTATATAAAATATCTGTTTGAGTATCTAAAGGTATTTTTTCGTCTGTGGATTGACACAAAATGGCATACTCTTTGTTGTAAAATTTACCATGATATGATGTATACCCGTTTTGCATGAAAACGGCGGCCATTTCGGACGCCATCGTGAATTCTGAAGCGCTGTGAAAGCAAAATTTTGTATGAAAGAAAAGACTATATGCTTATAATATAATAGTTTACTACATAAATAACATTTAATACTCCGACCAGTTATTGCCAATGTACAAACGAATGTTATATGCTTCTGCTCCACTTGAATAAAATAATGATTGTCCTCTGAAAAATCTGAATGGAAAACAGAAATTCTTCAGTTTCACATGTATAACCATCGGCATATTTCGCAAAAATAATTTGATCACTTAACAATGTTTAAATAGGGCATGCCTATTATAGTTGATTTGCATGAATGGGCCATAAAAACAACGGGGAGGGCCATTTTTTCAAAGGGGTCAAAATTTACAGGACACCATCTAATAAAATAAAGTAATTTCTTGCATTATTTGTTGAATAGAGATTTTTTAAAGGCAACAGAAAGTTTGAGCGATATTTCAAATATTTAGATCGTAATAAATATAAAACAAATGTGATGTGAATCTCAGCAAATCGTACATTAAAGGTTCTTGTACCTTTTTTACTTTTTGAAGGCATTTTAAAAGTAATTTTGTTTTATATCAATTTTGATGTGCTGTTTTTGATAACTGTCAGGTATAATTTCTGTAAATGTTTATGATAGTATTTCTTTGATTTGTCTACTCAATTTATTATCCTTTTAAAATTAGAAATGTGCTTCAAAACTAAAAAATAAATGATTAACCCATCGATTCTCTAATTATTTGCAGCCTCAACTGAAACTGGAGGTGATGAATTTTATCAACTATTGCAAAGGCTTGAATTAACAGCAACATTCCCTGGTAAAATTTCTTTGAGGGATGTCATAGCAATTGATTTTGATGAATCAAATGTCCTGAAAAATAGCACAATAAACTTACCCGATATTCCTTGGTTACTTCTAAAGCGCTTGATGTGCGTTCATAGCGAATCGAGAGATATAACAGTGTCAGAAAGCGATGAACATGCTTTGGATTTAGAACATTCACTCTCCTTTTGTTCGGAAGTACCAGGAGAAAATCAAAACATCAGCCCGTTAGATATATTCACTGTTGTTTTTCAATGTTGTGATCCTGTTTTGAAGCAGGTTATTGTCCAAAAATTGTATCTGTGTAAACTTGCTGTACCCTTCTTATATCAACATTGGGAAAATAATACAAAACAGTCTCCAACACTCTCTATTTGGCCGTTGCGGTTCCTGGTCATAGAAAATAAGCAAACACCTACTAATATACATCAAAAACAGGATAGAGAGTGTGATGTTCTTGAACTGCCAACAAAAGTATTAGCATTTGGAAGGTTAGGTCATTCTCGCTTTTCAAAATCGAAACTGATAAATAGTTTTCTCTTAAGTCAGGGCTGTAACACATTTTTTAATAGAGACTGTCCCTCTGGCATGTTTTCAAGACATATAAGTAATGGACAGATTGAGATGTTTTGGTTACCAACCATCGATAAAAGTAAAGATATATTTAATCATGCAATGACATTTTTAAACTTAAGGGGTGATCTTGGCAAACACTTTAGTCCAGATATTTTGTACTTCATAGCAAATTTCATAGATTCAATTGTTATGGTCGTAGAATTAGACATAGTTTTAAACCAAAGTAAGATTGTTGAAGATGTTCTTCTTCAATTTTCCTCAGTTATTTTGATAATTCCGGACCATTTAAACAAAGATGCAGTTAATTTAGTTAAGAGTTTTCATAGTGGCGTAATTTTATTAAAGCCAAACATAAGTTTACGAATTTTGAGTACACATATACGCACTGTCGAGCAGAATGTCGTAGATATGCTATCACGCATAACTAAAAATATATTAGATCTGCTTGAAAAAAATAAAACAATGTCTCTCGAAGAACGATTATCGCAAGCAAATTTAGCAACAATAAAAACAGACGAAGAGGACGACGTCTGTCAACAATGCAAGATAGAAGCTTCGAAACTTATGGAACAAATGAAAGCTGAAGGAGAACCAAGTGGTTGGAAACAACATTTGACACCCGTTCATAGTAACTTTTCAAAGCAGTTAGGAAAGTTATTAAAAGAAAGGGAAAGAGAAAGAGATTTTGTAGAAGGAGGAAACATAGACGTAAAAATCATGACAGTTAGAAGACAACAAATTAAATCGATAACCAAGTATGTTAAAAGTTTCATTCACGTTCTTATTAAAAACCGCGATCACCCTTTGATTCTTAATTATTTTCTTTGCTGGTTACATTTTCAAATTGAAAGGGAAAAACGCCAAATATTTCCCTGTTTGGTGCATGCAATACGAATTGCTTGGGAAAAACTAAAATCATTGAAATGCGCTGAAGAAAAGGTCAAAGACGAGATTATAGAAAAACAAGAAACTGCCATTTCAGATTTGGAAGAACAGCTTGACAAAGAGTCATTTACAATTCAACATTTCTTTCGTGAAATTGGTCATATAAATGAAGCAATTTTAGAACTCAAAGAAGATACAACCGAATTAGGATTACCAACTTTACACCACATGTCGAATATTGTCAGCCGTCTTGTTGTTGATGGACACCATTTCGAGCTGATTGATGGTGAAAGCTTTTACATGACTTACCAATGGAATAAAGCTGTCCTCAACAATGTTGATTCATGTATTGAATCTAGTAAAGTTATGACACTCGGCGTTTTAGGTTTGCAGAGTTCTGGAAAGTCAACTCTTTTAAATACCATGTTTGGATCCCGATTTCCTTCTAGAACCGGAAGGTGTACTAGGGGAATACATGTCCAGCTGATCCCTATAAAAAGTACCAATTTGGCCGAAACCACTTTATCGTTTAGCTATGTTCTTATAGTTGATACAGAAGGTTTGAGGTCACCCCAGTTAAGTCATCTGCATCATGAGCATGATAATGAATTGGCTACCATTATAACTGGTTTAGGTGACATAACAATGCTTACTATAATGGGAGAAAATACAAGCTAAATAAGGGATGTTCTTCAAGTTATTGTGCATGCCTTTCTACGACTGAAAATGACAAATGAAAAATTAGATATAAGGAAATGTTGTGCATTTATTCATCAAAATGTACCTGATACGTCCGCAAGTGAAAAAATGATAGGTGGTTTAAGCAAGTTATTGCAGACTTTAGATAAAATGACAAAAGAGTCCGCGAGAAGTGAGGGAATTCTTGACATCACAACATTTAACCAAGTCATTGAATTTGACATAAATTCTCAAGTGTGGTATCTAAAGAATTTATGGCAAGGGAATCCACCAATGGCTAGAGTGAATAATGAATACAGTGACAGTGTAGTGGATATAAAATACAATATATTGAAGAAGGCTTTGTATATGAAAGACAAATCATACAAAACATTGACTGATATGATTGAACAAGCGCATGATTTATGGAAAGGCGTCCTTAATGAAGATTTTGTTTTCTCTTTTAGAAATAGTCTTGAAATTAAAGCTTACATGCAAATGGAGTGTGTTGTGCAAGCTGAACTTTGGCGACTTGAAAGCATCATTCGTGACAAATTAATACAAGAATCGCAAATCAACTTTGCTACGTGTGATCAAAAGGATGATTTACGGAATGTATCACACAAACTGACAAGCTGGCTTCACGACCTCCTTTCAAGTGAAAAAATCAAAACTGAAGAAAATATTCAAACATATTTTGACGGAAATAAATATAAAGATATCATTATTCAATGGAAAAGTACCCAGACAATCCGTGTGAACTTATTATTTGAAAAACTACAACAAATTATCAACGAACATGTCGAAAAAAGCCAAGTGAAAAGATCATTAGAAATTCAAACCGTGGCATGTCAAGGGAATCACGAAGAAGAACTAAGAGAAAGATCTTTGGCAGTTGCAAATGACCACAAAGGTCATAATCTATCTAACGAGAAGATAAATCAGCTTTTTGACGACATTTGGAAAGAATTCCTTCACCAGCTTGATACTTCTTCTACAAGCATGGAAAAACACAGAAGGAGCATGCGAAATATTTTTACAACGTGCCTTGAGAACCTTTTGAAAAATAATAACGCTTTGCTTAAGCAAGCTTTGAAGGAGTCCAATTACTTGACACCATTATCAAATGTTAAAAAGTTAGCCAGTTCGTTTAGTGAAACGGGAATCAATGAAACAGACATAAGCTTTGCCATGATACAAAGGAGGGAGGCATTGTTTGGGTTCTCTTATACACTGAAATATGTCGGAACCAGAGTAAAACAAATATTCAAATCAGTTGACGTAAAAATAAAAGAACTTTGCCAAATTAATGATGAAGTAACAGAAATGTCGTGTAGTGTACGAGCTATTTTATCGGGAGACTGTCAATACACTTTTAAAGTGCCGTTTTATGTAAAAGTGTATGTACATGTAAGCAGGCATGCTCATCCAATATTCGAAAGTCATAATGAAAAGTATTTTGAAAGTTATGGCACTGCTGCTCTTCTTGCAAAATACAGAGCTCAACTGAAGATAAGTTTTGAGTCTCATTTACGTTGCAGACTTTTTGAAGATTTAGTCGCAGAACTATTTTCAAATATCATAGAAAGTTTTGCTGAAGAATGGACATTACAAAGTCTCCCGAATAATGTAACTGATAGCCTACATTCTCTCCTTCCGAAAGTTAAAAACAGAGTTATTATTGAAATATGCACAGACCTTTTAGAGGAAGGCGATTTTGATAATTTTGTGAATTACATAGTTGATCCACATGCGTATGCTACTTTATGGATTACTAAAAAGGCTAACCAATATCTAGATGAATCAGAGTTTAATGTCTTAGAAAGTACTTCGTCATCTTTGCTACAGAAATTGTACATAAGTGTTCGCAAATGTGTTAATGATGTCAAGAAAAAATTTGAAAGGACATCACCGCCATCAATGCAAACGTGGATAGAATCTTTCCAAAACTCAATGACATCGTCTGATTTTCGTATTCCATCTGAAAGTTTTCGGAACATAAAAAAGGAAGCATCATCTGGTATACATGGTAAACAAAATGTGGAACACTTTACAACTAAAATTTTACAACATTTGGAAGGTTCTGAAAAGAAACTTAAATCTAAGTTTAAATCACAGAAGAGTCACACAATAACATGGGTAGGTTTTAATCCTATATCACGTATTATAAAAAAGATATGGGGATGTACCGAGAAGTGTGTTTTTTGCGGAGAACCATGTGCTAAGGATCAGGCTCATGACGGGTCTACACACTACTGTATACAACATCGTCCATCATGCTGCAGGGGGGTTCGTGACAGGTATTCGAAAATAGCATGCTTGGAATCATGTGAGTTTGATGTTCAATCAAACACAACACATACGTGCTCTGTTTTCAATTATATTTGCAATAATGAAAAACGAAAAGAATGTGGCAAAACTCATTTTTATAGGGACTTCAAAACATACCTTCCGAATTGGGACATTGCTCCAACGTCTAATATGCATGATTCATCTAAATATTGGATGTGGTTTGTAGTGACATACAAAGAAGATCTTAAAAAGCTCTATAATTATAAGATCAAAGGAATCCCCTCAACATGGAACAGTATAACGAAATTAGAGGCAAAAGAGAGTCTACATAAAATATATTCTGCATAAATAGCTTCTATTATAAAAAAAGCATTTGAAAGAAAATACTCACGAAATTACATAAATTTTATGACGCAAAATATAAATAGTTGAACATGATAATAAAGTTATTTTATCGTTTCTTGGCAGAGCTATTATCCTTATCTTTACGCGAGCAAGACAATATAATTTGTAAAAAGTTGCACGTACTTTATTTCAAGATTCTTATATTTTTTCTAGATTTTTGGATAATTTAGTCCGTTATTAATTGAGTACCGTTCAAGCAGGTGGTAAGGGGAGTGAGGAATGTTGAACCTTTTCGTTATCCCTCATGTAATTTCTCAGTTAAACCAAATTTGTAATGTCCATGTATGTTTCTGTTTTCAATGCTTTCGAGGGATCACCTTTCCCTGATATTTAATACAAGGGTATATTAGTACCTGTCCAATTTATTTTCAGTCACTGATATGCATTTACAGAATATAGGAACTTTAAAGCTTTACTTTATTGTGAATAAAAAAATATCGCTTAACGTTTTAAACATGCAAGAAAATATGTTGAAAAACTAATAAATCTATGTTACTTCTTCCGTTTCTTCAGCGGATTTAATACCGAAAATGACGATTTTAAGAATTTATGTTTTTTTTGTGGTAGATTGCTACCAGTAAGCTACTTTATTTGTAATTTAAATGGCTAGAGGCTTTTGAGTTCTAGGACAATAACAATTTAGTAATCCAACTTGCTAAACACATTGTTTACAAGTGTTGACAATTTCGTGCCTGAGATGCAAAAAACGGTCTTACGCGAAGCTTCAACCGCAAATCAAAGCATGCATAGATAAATTAAATTCCAGTCCTTTATGAAATCATCTGATCGTTCCCAAGCATCAAAGACAACAAAAAAGAAAGACGGTGAAAAACATGACAGCTCAAATTTTGCTGATCTGATGAGCAATAATTATATTCTTGCATTTGCATATAAATAAGAGACAAACAATAGTATGGTCTAGCAAAACGACTGTATCACTCATAATTTTAAAGGATACGCTATCGAATTCATAAGCTAAAACCCAGAAACATGAAGAATCTTCTTCATCCTACAGTAAACAACAACGTCCACACCACCAAATGTTAAAAGTATTCTTCAACATTCTTAATCTTAACTAGCAATGTGGCCATACCACGTGACTTTTCGGGTACGGAACACGCCGATTTTTCACCCGATTCAGGTATGTTTTTTATTCATAACTTATTTATTACTCAACCGATTTTGATCAGATAAGGCGCAGAGTACCCGTAATTATATCAGCTATCCACGGTATATCAAAATTCTGAAAACCCCTGAATGGTTTTTGAGAACATTCGAGTACAGTTTTCTTTTCATAGCCTGGGCCGAGGGGAACGGTACACACTCATTTGTCATAACAAGCAATTTCTAGCAAGTCATATGTTTTTTGACACTTTTTAATAGAAAAATACATGTTAAATCTGATATATTAACTATGTCCAATGTATCGAGTGAACGCAGTGATGATTTAGCATATTTTCATAAAGTTATGTTGAAATGATACGGAACACACTGTTATTTCAAAAGATACGGTACACACACAATTTCTGTCTATGTAATAATTCTAAAATAAAATATATTAAAATTCAATTTCATTTATAATGTGAGTGATTTTTTTCACAGTTATACATTTTATTAATCTAAACGAGAACCCAGGGACCTGTTTTGCAATGTATCATAGTGCTTACTTTTAATGTTTATATGTATTTGTACTCTATATTTCAAGAGATCACGCTTAACATTTACAACCTCCATGTAATTGTCCTACATGTATTTAAAATCACCTAGGGTATGTTAAACACTTCGACCTTCAAAAAATCAGGTAGTTGCGCTCTATAGAAAAAAATGTTGTTATATAATGCTCTGTTTATTGTTCTTTATTGTTGTTTTTTTTTATTTCTTTTAGTTTAAGTGATATGTCTTTTTGCTTCATCCTGAAAATTAAACAAGGACATGACCTAAATCGCTGGAAAGTATCATTATACTTGATAACAATTTACATATATTTATATTTTGTTAATAATAAGCAAGTCATTAGGTACAATTTTGCAATATCATAGTCATGTTTAATTAAATCAAATCATAGAAGGCGCTGAATTTGTTTGGGTCTCAGAATGTCAGAAAGGTGAAGGCTGTGAGATTGTAAACCAATTTGTTTTTGTATAGTGCCACCAATGTTGTTTCTATTGTCATAACTGTAGTAAATTGGCTAGAAGGCTTAGTGCAACACTGATATGTAATTCATTGTTTATTTGGCTTAAACAATTAAAAAAAAAAACCCAAAAAACCCCCAAAAAAAACAGGAGTTGCCTTAACTTGGATTTGAACTCAGGACATCTCTCTTCATAAACGAGCATGTAACCCCTCGACCACGGGGAAGTTATAAGATAACAGCCTGAAGAAAACCATATCATTCTAAATTAGGGTTTGTAACCCTTATTAATTTCGTTTGACACTGATGTAAATAATCATGGAGCTTAATATTACATGTATGTCTGTAAAGAATTACACAATATTTGAAATCTTTGACCAATCGGAACTACCTTTTCTTTTCCCGAGAAGGCTTGAAAATTAATGCTGCCGTCATTTGACAATCTTTACACAGTGATCGCCCCTTATTTTTTAAGTAACCGCTTCCAGGGGTTCGGACTACTTTCTTATTTTGCAAATAAACATATCAGAGCCTGAAATTTCGCTACCATTATTTGTTTGGTCTGACGACCCAAACAAATAAAAATGTAGTCGCCATTGCTTAATTTTTTAATGTTCATAGGCACGAAGCTTCAAAAATAACTTTTAATTCATGTAATTAGGTCATTTTTGGTTAGGATTCACGGCTCATAAAACTGACATTATCATGTGGCGACTTTCGTGTTTTACAAGTGCCCCTTTGGGTTTAAATAAAGGAAAGAACGGGCACCTGAGTAAAACGACCGACATTCTGTACGGTAGTAAGAAAACTTTCTCACATAAAAAATCGAAACATCGAAGTCACTTGTGGTCTCGTACCTACTTCATGTAGTATATAAAACAGAAATCAGCCTCCAAAATCAATAGCATTTGATTGACAAAATGGGTATTATTAAAATATCATTTTATTTTTAACACAAACACGCAAGCACACATATCCAAGAACTCAAGTGTTAAATGCATCTTGAAATGAAAATCCAAGATAAGCATAATTTTACCAAATTTCCTAACATGCATACCTTACATGTATATGTAAAGGTTACCTTGTTATATAACAGGCCTTGTTCCCATATGGGTTCTTCAAATTATTAATTTTGATTGCACGTGTAACTGCGAAATATATTTGTCCATATGTAAATAATTTGATAATTTAGATACATGCAGTTAGATTGGGACCCTGGCAGATGATTCATACCAAATATCATGTGGCCGAAAAAACTTTAAACTTTCCGTGATTTAAAAAATCCACTTACATCAAAACCCGCGTTTTTTCTCCAAATTAAACAATATTTTGCAAGGAACATATATTTCCAACTTACTCCTAACTTCTTGTTTGTTTATATATTCATACTACGTTTAGACAGTCATTTATATATTCGAACAAACAAATTATATAAAATAATAATCGCACATAACAGATGTCCATGAATTTCATAATTCGTTTTATAATCCAAAAGAATATACCTAATTGTTTCAAATGAAAATCAAAACAAAACAAAATTTTGAATGTCTTCCGTATCCCTCCCTAAAATTTTAACATTTTACAGCCAAAAATCATTCACTTTATAATTGAAATTATTTTTTATATACATTTTATTTTAGAATTGTTTCAAAGACAGAAATTGTGTGTGTACCGTATCTTTTGAAATAACAGTGTGTTCCGTATCATTTCAACATAACTTTATGAAAATATGCTAAAACATCACTGCATTCACTCGATACATTGGACATAGTAAATATATCAGATTTAACATGTATCTTTCTATGAAATAGTGTCAAAAAACATATGACTTGCTAGAAATCGCATGTTATGCCAAATGAGTGTGTACCGTTCCCCTCGGCCAAGGCTATGAAAAGAAAACTGTACTCGAATGTTCTCAAAAACCATTCAGGAGTTTTCAGAATTTTGATATACTGTGGATAACTTATATAATTACGGGTACTCTGCGCCTTATCTGATCAAAATCGGTTGAGTAATAAATAAGTTATGAAGAAAAAACATACCTGAATCGGGTGAAAAATCGGCGTGTTCCGTACCCGAAAAGTCACGTGGTATGGTCACATTGACTAGGTTTTAACATTTATTTTAGCGAGAGAGAGATATTCTGTCAAACGGAATATGCAGATAAGAACACATAAAAAATTGCAAATTGACGGGTTCTTGATAAGGATATGCATGTAGTACCAACGTCTGATATGCGTGCCTCTTCTAAATATTCGAAGTGGTTAATACAAAAATTAAAAAAAAACTAAAAAAAAAAAACATTTTATAGAATACCCTAGACGAGTTTGTGCATCTGTCGAGGAAATTTGTTACCAGATCCTTGGTAAAAATGGAGATGACACAATTTATTCTGCTTGAATCTATTTTTCAAGTTAGATTACTTTTAAAGGTCATTATTTTATTTGACGAGACAGAAAGGGGAGAGTTAAATGATACTTTCTTAATGGACTTTTTAACAAGAGAAATTGATAGAAGAACGCACCAACAAAAGCTACATGTATTTTTCCTAAATATTGTACCTAAGGAATGTCAAATAGAAAGTTTATTTACTGCGTTATTTATTCTTTTGTGTTTTGTTTCTTCTTTTGTTGATCACGCAGGGCCTATTACTTTTTAGATTTAAAATTTGTGTAGTTTTTGTAGATGTCATTTATATATTATATGAAAGCAGCAATTGTATGATAAATAAAATTGATTTCAGTTTCAAATTAAATTCTTTGGCATTTATTTAAAGGTTTTGCTTACTACGGTTATATCATATTCTGCTGTA